GGGGGGGTTGGATTTCTCCCCTCCAAAATCTTTAGGCCAAACAAGGGCAAGTGTTCAGATTTGAGATCTTTAGTCTCTTGGCTTCAGCTTCTAATCTCCAGATTCTAGTTAAAAATAAGGTGAATAGAGGATGCTATTAATATGGTACTATGGTCACTGTAGGTTACAGTTACAATTATTTATAGTTAATTTTAACAGCAAGTCGTGAGCCATGATGCACTGCATATTTTCTTCTCATCAGGCCATGTTGGAAACTGTTAGCTATTACAAAGAAAACACGAGCATCATAATGGAGACGTTTCGTTCGTTAGACTTTAAAGTGTACGGAGGGAAGAATGCGCCGTACGTGTGGGTCCACTTCCCGGGTCGGAGCTCGTGGGAGGTGTTTGCCGAGATTCTTGAGAAGACTCATGTGGTGACCACTCCCGGGAGTGGGTTCGGGCCCGCTGGAGAAGGTTTTGTTAGGGTCAGTGCCTTTGGACACAGAGAGAATGTGATTGAAGCCTGCCGGAGATTCAAGAGTCTGTTCAAGTGAAATGAACTGTGTTTTGTACAAATAGCCCTTTCCTCCCCATTTAAAAAATTTGGTTTTACCATCTTCCGTAGAGATAATGTCCGCATGCACACACCCTCTCTAGACCCTATTTCCGACTTTCTGTGGGATTCTACCCGATTTATTTGTCGTTCTCGTTTTTTCATTGATTAGGTTTGACAAAGTTGTATCTCGTCACTATATCGGTATTAGCTTTTGATTAAAATTCAAATTACACGCATCGAGAACATTGTTTGGAAAATTTCCACCTAGTCTTTTCTCTACTTGGTCATTTGGTTTTTTTTCTATGATCATAACACCGCTTAAATATCATTCTCTTTGTTTATCACGTACTTTACTCTTTATCATATATTCGTATTATACACAAAATTCGTATTACTCATCACATCAAAATATTTTTTTCTTAAATTTTTTAAAAATTAAAATGGAAAAATGTTTATGGAACGGAAGAAGTATGAATTTTTTAACTAATTTTATCAAATTGATTAATATCATATTATGCACTAACCTTTAGTATCAAAACAAGAACATTTAAATAATGCATATTCACAAAATGTTTTTCCCAAAGTATAAATCTAAAAATATATTGCTTCTATCTCAAATTAAAATTTCCTTTTTAACTTTTGCAGGATTTAATTTAAAAAAAAAACTGTGTTTGCGAGTTACAAGTTTAAAGCATTAATTATTTACTTTAAAAAGGAATAAAAAAAATTTATCTTTAGAGATAAAAAAAAAAATAAAGACCAAAATGTGAGCTCCACCGGATAAGCTTAGTCTCCAGAAACGAAAATGTCTCCTCCGGCAGCCGGCGCCATAGAACTCCGACCACTTGGCAATACCGGCTTGAATGTGAGCTCCCTCGGCTTCGGAGCCTCCCCACTTGGCAATGTCTTCGGGAATGTCTCCGAAGAAGAGGCTCTCGCCGCCGTCCGCCGTGCCTTCCGCCTCGGAATCAACTTCTTCGACACCTCTCCGTATTCACCCTACCCTCTCCCTCAATTCCATTCATTTTTTTCCGATCAATTCACATCTTATTCTTGTTTCCATTTGCTGATTCCTTCTTCATTTGCCGCGGTCATCCTGTGGTACTGTGGTTGGGGTTTCTTAAATTTCTGGGCTGTTTATGAATTAGGGTTAGAAATCGTCCGATTTGATTGTTTCTGCAACTGTTTACATTAGTTCTGTTGATGGTTTTAGGTACTATGGGGGAACATTGTCGGAGAAGGTTCTCGGGAAGGCTCTGAAGGCACTCGGAGTAGCTAGAGATCAGTACATCGTGTCCACCAAGTGCGGGAGGTACAAGGAAGGCTTCGATTTCAGCGCAGAAAGAGTGACTCGGAGTATTGGTGAGAGCTTGGAGAGGCTCCAGCTTGACTATGTTGATATTCTCCATTGTCATGATATTGAATTTGGGTCTCTTGATCAGGTAATAATACCCAGATTGGAGTATATTTCCTACAAACTTGACATTTTGTGCAATGGGTATATTGTGTTTAGAAGACACATCCTTGAATCATAAAATATGTTTCTGATATGTGAATTTTGTTGGGAAAGCAAGAACACAAATGAATGTGTAGTGCCCAAGATCAACACCTTTCCCTCTTGAATGAATCTATGAGGAGCAACAAACAAACACACCAAAGAACACCAAGCAACAAGATAATCCAAACACAAAAAATAAAGCGATATGAGGCACGAGATTTTAACGTGGAAAACCCTTTCAATGTGAAAGAGTAAAAAACCACGAGACCCTTCGGTCCAACCAACTCCACTACCACCAAATTGAGAGTACAAATGCACAATATAACAGCACCACAATGATATCTAGCCCTTAACAACACTACGAAGGCACTAGAATCAAAATAGAGGAACAAAAGTGCAAGAAATCACCAAAAAACAGCAGCTGGTGCGAAGCTCATAACTTGAGATTGAACCGTTGAAATTCGATCTCCACCGTTCAAATTGAAGCTCCACGAGTCCTTAGACTCATCCTAAAATTTCAGCTCGATCAGACAAGATTTGGACCTCCGATTGACCAAAAAACAGAAATGCGTTTTGAAGAAAAAGGCAGCGGATTCCTCTCCTCTTGCGGCTGTTTTTCTCCTTTTTTGTGCGTGAATGATAGTTTTCAACCAGCTGTACCCCTCAACTTAGACCCTTAATTTGCCATCAAAAGTGGACTAAAATTGGGCTTGAGTATTACACTCCAAATGGGCTTTTAAAACACATAGTTGGGAGCCCAAACCCAACAAATTTCTGACTTCTACCGTTTTGTTAAATCTTGAACCTCCAGATAGTGAATGAGACAATTCCTGCGCTTGTGAAACTGAAGGAAGCTGGGAAAGCTCGTTTCATTGGTATAACTGGACTTCCGTTGCAGATCTTCACTTATGTGCTTGATCGGGTTCCTCAAGGTACAGTTGATGTAGTTATGTCCTATTGCCATTACAGCATTAATGACTCAACATTGGAGGATCTACTGCCCTATTTGAAGAGAAAGGGCGTGGGAGTGATTAGTGCTTCTCCTCTTGCAATGGGTCTCCTTACTGAGCCCGGTCCTCCGGAGTGGCACCCTGCATCACCTGAACTCAAGGTCTATTCTCATTTCTGCCTAGAGTTTTTGTGTGAGTCAGCCATTTTTTCACTCTTTCGTATTTGTGGTTTCCTTTGTCAGGCTGCGTGTCGAGCTGCTGCTTCTTATTGCAAGGGAAAGGGGAAGAACATCTCAAAGATAGCTATTCAATACAGCTTGGCTAATGCAGAGATTTCTACAATACTAGTTGGAATGAAGTCTGTCGCACAGGTTATGCTTCTTCTTCACCTTGTTTCTGCACTTTGATAAATTTTTGAAACAAATTTGCAGTTTTATTCATCATTTTCCGCATTTTGTTTGAAAAAGCTCGAGTTGGGAACTTCTCTTCTTACTTGACTCTTATTGACAGACCGGGTTAAAGGGACAATGAAACATGCTCCTATTAAAGGAGTGTGAAAAAAAAATTCACATCCATTCATGGACTTTGTATATTTTATGTCGAAAAGTTTGATTTTGTACGGTTGATATTGTTAATAAAAAAAGTATATGCAAGAAAATGGGGTGTTGTTTAATGTATTGTTAGAGCAAGTTGTCACATAATGATTATGGCTTCTTTTTTTCATTAAATTACTATAAATTTAGTTTCCATGAATTGAATTGAATTACTGGCACAAGGAATCAGATCATATCATGGTGGGAATAACTGAAATTCATCTCATTCCTGCAATCTTAAGAATGAGGAATTCATTTCATTCCTACATGTAGAATTATAACATTCCAACCCAAAACCAATTCACAATGGGAGAAGTAACTCATATCCTTACATTATACGCAGTAGTCTTTTTGGCCCCTCTTTATTATCTCTTGGTAACATCCTCTTTACTGTCAAGTAGGGGAAAGTTATGCATACACACATTCTCCCCAGGCCCTATTTTCTTGAAATTCTATGGGGTCTCTCAAATTGAGACATTTTTCTCCATGTTCTCACTTGCTCGAATATACTTTCTTGTTCAATGTGAGACTAACAGACTACATGTAATTTTAGAAATCTGAGTATTGTTTCGTATCTTGTGATTCCTATCCTTTTCGGTTCCAAACATGGTTATCAACCTAATTCCAGGGAATAATATGAAGCCTATTTTCCCTGTTTTTAAGTTTGTAAGCATTGTAAAGTACTCATATATTGGTTGTTGGTGGTAGCAGGTGGAAGAAAATGTTGCAGCTGCAACAGAGGTAACAGCAACTGCATCTGGAAAGGAAGAAGAGACCCTTTCTGAGATTTCAAACATCCTCAAACATGTGAAGAACCAAACATGGCCTAGTGGGAATGATACACAACAAAGTTGAATAGTGATGAATGTTTTCATGTTGGAAAATATTTGTTGTTTTATTTTAAATTTTGGAAATGTTATACTAAGTATGTGTCCCATTTTAAATTGCTTGTTTGCTTTTTTTCTCCGTCCCAAAATAAGTTGTCTGTTACTTATTTTCGTAAACTTTTAAGAGTAAAATACCTAAACTACCCCTAAAATAAGTCACTCTTCTCCACTTTATCTTCTCATTCATCGTTATCCCTCCTAAAAAGTAATGGCAATTTCGAAAAATCAACTCTATTTTTTCTTTTCCTTAAATATGCCTAAAAATCAAAATAAGCGATTTAAAACGGGACGGAGGAAGTACTTCATAAAGTTTCAAGATGTGGTTTGACTACTTGAAATATGAATCAGAATATGAAAGATTTCCACCCCCAAAACACTAAAGATTATTGGTTTTGTGAAACCCGGAGAGATCGGCCATGAAAGATTTTCCACATCAAGACATTGGGAGCAAATGGCATGAGAAATTAGGAAATTTCCTTCCACTTTTGCTTTGTCTTATTGTGTATATTATTAGCCAAATGTATTCCCTCCCAAATTTGATTACAAATTGCGGGTTACGGAGTGAAATTTCCTACTTTTTGAAATTATTTTATTTATAAATTGGTATATCAATAAGATATAAAAATTACATATTAAAAAACTACGTCAAAAGTTCTGCAAAACAAGAGGTGAGAAGAATATTTTATTTTATCAAATATTTAATGAAATCGCGTAAACAAACAAAAGTTATCGAGAGGATAGAAAAAAAATTGTAAGCTATTTAGGAACGGAGGTAGTATATAAGTTCGGCCACATGACCTTGTACTCCAAGACTTTGATAATAAAAAACTCTTTGTTTTATTCTTTGAGTAATCCACTAAAATAGTGTGATGTTTTCTAACCAAAATCCCAATTCAATATATTAAGTGTGATTCTCTTAAATGTGATATTTAAGTTTTAGTTATTTAATTAAATGTATATATCTTAATTAAATTCTAGACTTTAACCAAAGTTAATCTAGAAGTGCGTAGATCTTTTGGCATTAATTTGGTTCAAAATTAAGATAAGAGCGTGTATATCTCTCAACACTGATTTGGTATTTATCCCATCAATTCTAAATTTATCATTCTCTCTTGATATCCCATTCTTCTTCATAATTTAAAAAAAGAATCCAAAGTTATTCTAGAGATGCGTTTATCCTTTAGCATTAATTTGACTCCAAATCAAGATAAGAGTGTGTATATCTTTTATCTCTAATTCAGTTTATCTCTTCCTAACTTAATTCTTCCATTCCGCTTCTCCTATGTTCTACTCCTAAACCTATTTTTCATAAAAACACCA